GTATTTTAACCTAGAGGCTTTTTTTTTAAATCATGGTGTGACATATCAAGACCTCTATGCCTTAGTAAGATTATGGTGCCATCTGTGTGGAGGATACATTTGAAAGGGAAAAAAAAAACTAGAGTCAGGAAGACCCATCAGGAGACTATTATTTAAAATTGCTACAGAATGTATAAAATATTTGGGAAATTATCTTCCAAAATATACAAAATAACCACATAAATACAACTACAAACAACTGTTTACTGAAGTAAAGACAGACCTAAATAATTGAAAAAATAGTAATTACTCATAGGAAGGATAATCAGGAGCCAATATGATAACAGGAGGCAGCTGGTGGCACAGCGGATAGAGGGCTGGGAGTCAGGAAGACCTGAGTTCAAATTTGGCTTCAGGCATTTACTAGCTGTGTGACCCTGAGCAATTCACTTAACCTCTATCTGACTCAGTTTCCTCAACTATAAAACGGGGATATTAGCACTCATGTCACAGGGGTGTTATGAAGATCAAATTTGATCATATTTGTAAAAATGCTTAGCACAGTACCTGGCACCTAGGAGGTGCCATATAAATGCTCATTCCCTTCCCTCATAAGAAAAAATGACAATATTATCTAAATCCAGATATCTAAATATTATATAAATGCTTACTTATTCAATGTCATACCAACCAAACTACTAAAAGATTACTTTACAGAACAAGAATAAATTAAGTCAAGAAACTCAAGAAAAAATAAGGGGGAAATGGGTTTGAAGGTAGCCTAGCAGTGCCAAATATCAAACTATACTTTTGTTGTTATTGTTGTCATATCCAACTCTTCATGACCCCATTTGGGCTTCTCTTGTCAAAGACAGTAGAATGGTTTTTCATTTCCTATTTCAGATCATTTTATAGAAGAGGAAACTGAGGCAAACAGGGCTAAGCAACTTGCCCAGGATCACACAGCTACTAAGTGTCTGAAGCCAGATTTGAACTCAGGAAGGTGAGTCTTCCTGATTCCAGGCTAGATACTCTATTCACTGTGTCACCTGGCTGTAGTAGTAATATTAAAATTGAAGAGGATGGGACTGATATTTTTATACAGAAAAAGACTGTGGGAAGATCTGCAGGTCCCATCCCCATCAAAAACAATTTGACACTGGAAAAAAACAATAGATCAATCAGTGAACTAGATTAGGTACAGAACATACAGAAGTAATTTTATCTCATGGTCTAGTATTCGCTAAATATAAAAATGCCTGCTACTGGCATAAGGGGTGGGAGGGAGGGAAAATAGATTTCTGTGTATTAAAAAAAAAAGAGAGAGAGAGAGGCAAAGGTATTACAGATGTGAAATGTTACACATACTTTCAATTAAGGTCACTGTATTATTAGTTTTGTTTAACTAATTTACTTCATTATAAGAGACCATTCAAGAAGTGGGAATGATATATATAAATACTTGTAATATAAAAACAAAACATATCAATAAAACTTTTTTTCTAAAGTAATAGTCCAGATGAGCTGTGAAGGGGATTTGAACAAAGGGTGGTAGCAAGATGGGCAAAAAGAAGGGGGCAAATGCATGAAATGTTGTAGTGTGAAATGGACAGGACTTAGCAACGTAATTGGATATGATGAAGGATATGGAAGAGCCAAAGATGTTCCAAGGTTTTGAAACTAGGTATCAGAGAAGAACAAGAGTAGGGAAGTTAGGAGTTGGGACAGGTTTGGGGGATATCAATGATTTAACAAGCATTTATCAAATATCTGTTCTGCATCAGAAACTCTTTCTGGCACCTAAGATACAAGGGACAAAAAAAGAAACAGTTTCAGCCTTCTGTGATTTTGTATTCTATCAGGGGAGACAAGACATACGTTCATAAGTATATTAAAACAAATCCAATACAGTTTTGGGAGGTAATGGTAGCTGGCATGGGGGGAAAATTGGAAAAGGATACTAAGAATTAATTCTAAGAGGTATGGCTAGGAAAGGAATACATTCCAGGCATGGAAGAAAGGCAGTGAAAATTTCCATTGGGTATGAAGCATTTGAGATTCTAGAAGGGCAGATATGTGGAAATGTCCAGCAAGAAGCTGGAGATAAGGAAGTGAATTCAATGGAAGAGATTTGAGCTAGAAATGGAAATTTGGTAGTCATAAATGAATATATGGAAGTGGACAAGCTTACCCAGGAACGAGTGTGGAAAGAGAATAAAATCCAGGGCAGACTCTTAGGGAGGTAGGAGGCAAACAATTGAAGAAACAGTGATCACATGATTTCAAAGGGCATCAAGAAGGCCCTTGGGCCCACTTATTGGCTATTGCTTGAAATCTCACCACTACTACTTCATCACTTTGGTGTATGGTTCTCTGGAGGTACAAACACTGTGCTATCAAAAAAGGAAAAATGGAGCCTGTGAGATAGTGACTTTGTCTACTTCATAATTTTGACTGAAGCTGGCTCTACTCAGAAGTCTCACTACTATGATGACTGTGGGAAAAGCTACAGAAAACTCTAAGGAATAAGCTACATAAAAACTCTCTGACTATCGAGTCGAAGATCAAATCCCTGAATAGCCTGGGCATGTCCTGAATAGGAGCAAGCTTCAGAAATGCTGAGAATAGCAGCAAGTCACAACAAAGTCGGGTCATTGTATTGCAAGGGAAAGGAATGGAGAAGACACCCAATATTTAGTTTCGACCAGATTAAACCATTAACAGAAAGAAAAATGAGACATTTTAGTGGCTCTGATGGTGCCTAACAGCCAAAAAGTTAATTTAGTAGCCTTAAAAAAAAGGCAAGCCAAAATGATCACAAAACTAGAGGGCATTCAAAGAGGTGGAATTGTACTTTATTTCACTTGTTACTTCAGAAAAGAGGTTTTAAATCCCATTCTCTCAAACAATAAGTAAAAGAGAAAATAAGGTACTCAGGCCAGAGAAACTCCCTTAGAGACCAGAGAGGTAAGTGCCATTGAAAATGGGAAAGCACCTGCTTTAGGGCCCATTACTACTATCTGTAAAGGCACAATGCAATTCTTTATACCTGTTCCTCTTTGCTCCGGAAAGTTTTTTGCTTTGCTTTGTTTTGTTTTCACTTTTCTCTATTAGCCGTCATTTGTAAGTCACCAACAGGGTACTGCTCTCTTTCCATTACTCTGAAGTATGTCATAACATATTAACTTACAGCTGAGAGACTAAGAAAAGCTGGCCTATCTCATTCTAAGTACTAGTATGGTATTTTAGAATATTGTGAGGTTATTTTACTCAATGACAGTAGGGAAAGTTTTTCATCTTCCAAATAATTCTACTTGAATTGACTTACCTGTGCCCTGCTCTAATGGGTACTACTTCTAATTGCAGTGTTTCACATTATAGATATGTCTCACTTCATGCAGCAAGATACTTTCTTGAAAAATTGTATGTTCAAATTTAAGCCTAAAAATCAAGTCGTAGGTTCAAGTCAAGAATCATAGGTTTAGAACTGGAAGGAACTTTAAAGTTCATCTATGCTATCCTTGTCAACTGAAAAGACATACTTCAACACTTCAAAGAGCTGTGATTTTATCAATGTGGGTCCTTCTTTCCCCAATACAGATTGTTAGCACTCCAAGCCTCAATAGATCATTTAAATGAATTGTTCTAAAGGAAAAAAAAAACATGACTTGGTTGTCAACATTCTGGTGATGAGCTCCTTTGACCAAGGTTAGTCCTTGGACCGGCGTTGTGCTCTGACAAGGGGCCTTTAAGAACTTTCACAGTTTGGCAGCCTTTAAGCACTCAGGGTCATCTCCACACTATGATCAGATATTGCAGTAGGATTTTAGTGGAAACAATGAAAATATTTATCAGTTTTGCAATATGAAATGTCTGTGTCTCTTCTGAAAGGAGACAAATACCTATACTGCCTACTTTTCAAAGCAATATTACTGGTTTCTTAGGCTTAATTGGTAGTTTCAGAACAGTTCTAAATTCTATCAGCTAAATAAATACCATTAAAACTGAGTAACTCATATGAAATCTCCCTTGATACCTAATGGAAATTGTAAGCCTATTTTGGTGTTTGATTCATTAACTTTTTTAAAAATCTAAAGATTACCCCAAATAAAGGATTTCAGAAGAAAACAATATGCACTAACAGTTTAACTATCATAAGATCTTGAATGCTGTCCAGTTTCTTAGTTCAAAGTTTATGAGAAATTAATTCCCTTTAGAGAGCTGGAGACATAAAAAGGTATAGGATGAAATATCTGAACAATTACTCTCTCTCTCTCTCTCTCTCTCTCTCATAAATTCCATTAGGCAGATATCATTGTTGAAAAAAGGCTTTATACAGTTCTCTGTAGCATGTTCTAGATGTCCAAATAAGATTTTCTTCCCCATACTGGCAACAGATAACTATCAAGATGGCATTGAAGGCCTACCAATGCTATCTCTGTTTTAAAAATGGGGGAAGCAGAAAGCAAAAATAAAAGCTAACTTAAAAAACTTCCCAAATAGACTTTTGAACTACCTGACCTCATAGTGTAACTTGAGAAAGCATGTAGACAGCAGTATCTCAAAAGATTTTTGATAGGTATTTGGTGGGGGAAACGACAACACACACAATTCTTTCCTCAGTCAAATAAATATGCACTTATAAATTCAATCTCTAGTTCCTACAGAGGCATATTTGTTTACTCTTAGAGTTTCTGCTCCGAGTTCTGTTCTCTCTGCAAGTTTCACATTTCATGGCTTATTAAATCAATCTTAATGAGAAAAGATATGGAGGGCTGCCTTGTTTTCCCCTGGAGATTTAACCTACAATCCAATAAACAGCAAAAATCAATGATTTTGAGTCTATAGTCTTGTACTCTCATCTTAAAGCTTTTAGATGTGAAAATATAAGTAAATATGGGAATAGGACATATCGCATTAATAATAAATACAACCAAATTGTGCCATCTTACAGCATTACACCCTTTTTCCATTACTGCTTTTTTTTTTAAAAAAAAAAAAAAGAAGAAACAAACTCCTACCTTGTAAAATGGTCTTCTGGTGTAAGATTTTTTTTTTTCTTTTACTCTTTTATGCCATAGGCCTCTTCAGCAGAGCCCTGTGAGTTGAGAAGTAGAGGATATAAATGTAAGCCAGACATTTACCAGTCAATCACGTCTGTCAAGATGTTAACTTTGACTTGACTCCCTGATGGGAAACAGCAATTAGGGTGTAGCCCTGGAAGCAAAGACAAACTGTGAATTAAATTTGCCAAAGCATATTTCTTTGAGTTAAATTAAATAAGACAGCTGAAAGGATATAAGAGCTGATTAGAACTGTGTTGCCATTATCCTCTCAAGAGTCACCAGCCAAAGAAGTCACTGCTAAAATTATCCTTTCAAGTTTGAAGTAGTAAAGTTTTGGGGGTTTGGCAATATCTCTAAAGTGTTTTCCTGTGTGCTTTAGAATACATCAAAATGTTTCTGTACTGAATTTGACAAAATTAGCTAAGGTTTTAAAGACTTGGGGAAACACTTCTGTAAGTTCACATTATACAATGCAAATGGTAGTGTCATGGAGATTAGTGGATATCTATTATGAAATCTAAGCTAAATTTATAACAATGAAGATATTCTTCTTTTGGTATTTAATTCCTGCTGATAAACTAGAACCTCTCTCTAAAGGAATATTGGTGAAATTCTGTAGGAAATAAAGGATTTATTTTCATCAGCACAATCAAGTATCCCACAGAGGGCAAAGAAAATGCTTTTCAGTGATCCCCACAGTATCATCTCTTTTCTACTCCTTCTTTTCCTTTTTCAAACACTGCCAAGTATGCATTATGTTAATAGTATTTCACCAAAAGGGAAACTGTGAATATGCCACTGGGTTGAGCTTGGAAGGACATGTATCTGAGTACAGATTTCAAATGGAGGCAATGGGAGTTTCTTTTTTCATGTTTCAATAAATGCATTTTTACAACTCATTTCAGGGAAAAATCTCATAGGGAACCTATGGTCTAGTAAAGGAATGATTCCATAGCATCGTTTGGGAGAACTGCTCAGCCATGCCTGCTTGTGTTAATGACAAGGGTACTAATACACTTTTGACTCTTACTAGGTAGAATTAAATCTCCAAGCCTTTGTTTGAAACCTTGAATGTTCCCCAAAACTTCTCAGAGATGGTTAATTAATAGTACCTGCTCATATACAGCCCATTACAAAACTACCTATTCACAGTAATTAGTAATTATATCAAAAACTTCTCTTTTGTTTTTTAGGCAATTGGGGTTAAGTGACTTGCCCAGGGTCACACAGCTAGTAAGTGTCAAGTGTTTGGTCTGAGGCCGGATTTGAACCCAGATCCTCCTGACTTCAGGGCCGGCACTCTATCCACTGCTCCACCTAGCTGCCCCTCAAAAACTTCTTAAAGGAGAATTTTCTAAAAATTTTTGGCCATTATTCTTCCTTCAAATAAGCATGTTAATTTGTTTTCCATTCCTCTGACATACATTTCTTTCTTCTCAGCACAATGGGAAAATCACCCCCCCACACACTTTCAAGCAAGAAACACTAGACATCTGGGGCAAATAGAGTTGGACAAGGGGGACTGGGTATGATTGAGATAGAACAGTGACAGGTGTCATAGAAGTTGAAGAGGCTGAAGAAGAAGGTCATAGTGTTTAAAGGGGGTAAGGATTTAGGTGGAGAAAAAGGGTATGAGCTATGAAGTGATGAAGCGAACTTTACAGGAAGATGGATATTGTTGAATATTGGTGACAGAGGAAGCATCTGAAAATGATAATGAGGTGCAAGGAATGTGCTATCTCCTGCTCCTGATCCTGTGCCTTATGGGGTATGAAAGGAAAAGTCAACCTTGGAGAAGCTGTCAAGAAACATAGTGTCTTCAGGAGTAAGCTAGATTTTAGTGGGCATCATAAGATGAAAGGAATGTGAGAGAAGAGAGACATAGGATAAAGAGGAGTTTTTTTTAAAAAAAAATACAGGTTTTCAGATGGCGTAATGAAAAAGGATAGAGGAAAGTAAGACCGAGCTTACAAAGAAGGGGAAGAGCAGATGTCATGTTTTGTCTTGCCACTGATTTCTCTCCTGAAAACTCCCAGTGATCTTGAGTAGACTGTGTGGCATACCCCAGGTCAAGCAGAGGATTAGGGTTTATCTGCCCCAGTAAAGATGTGAGTTCAGGAGAGGGGCATGATAGACATAGATATAGTGTGGTTGGGTAGCTGGTGACTTGCCAATGGGAAAAAAGAACATGACCCCTGGACAGACGAAGCATAAACTCTTCTTCCCATGTGTTAGTGCTTACATCAAAGTCCCAGCTATCCTATACCAGTGATGGCTCAAAGGTGGGATGGGGTAGGGTGAGAACATTTCAATTATTTTGTGTCAACTTCCCACCTCCAACATCAAAACATGAATTTCATTGCCTTTGTATCAGAATAGTGTTAGCTTTTCTATCTAACAAGCCAAAGCTAAAAATCAAAAAGTCAACATGAGATCAAATTTGCTTTATATGTTCTTGTCACAAAAGATAAACAACACCTAGGTTTAAATATCCAACAAACCCAAAGTCATTCTGACTTTCAACATGTAAGTCAACCACAGTTTGAAGGAAATCAATTGTCTTTAGCTATAATTTACATTAAAAAACCGTTTTAAGCAGACATTTGTCTTCTCTGATTAAAGAAAGAGAAAAGACTCCTTTAATAGGGAATTACCCACTGCCCATAATGTAATTTCAGGTGGAGCACTCTGCCCGTAATTGCATGGCTTGATCTGGAGTACTGCTAGGTAACTCATTTCTCCTCTTTGAATGAGAATTCATGATAAACAACACAACCAAAAGTTTTATGCTACATAGCCATTTATACCAGAGAGATCAGAAATCAACCAGACATCCTCAAAATCCCAGCTATTCTGTTCTTTGTGGTACAACTGAGAAGATATTCCACGTATTTCTTCCTCCTGTTTAGCTGAGGGTGATTTCTGAAAAGTGCCCCTGTTAAAGACCCAGCAAGGGCTAGTTTATATAAAAATGCCAACATTTTACTCAAGTTTGACCTCTAGAGCCAATTCCATTTTCAATTTGCTTGAGCTCAGAGCTGTCCTGCTTTCAAGGTCAAGAAAAGAAAAGTAGCTTGAAAATAATTTTCAAAATAACAAGTAAATTTAATAAATGAGAACAATGTTGTGATTTTATATTTACTATCATACAATTCTGTAAAATTTCACATTTGCAAAGTTGTTTTGTTTTGGATGCTACTGTCACCTTTCATTACTTACAAATTAATTTTCAAACTCTGTTCTTCAATCTTGCCAGATCCTTAACCAACATCAATGCTGTATTAGCCCACAAAACTTTTCATTTTTCTCTGTATTTCCTGCTTGTGACACATTCTTTGGATTGAATTTGGGGTCCATTCATAATCATGGCCTGGAGAAAAAGGGATGAATAAACAGTTCTGTGGAAGTTGGCATTTATTTTTGGTTTCTCTGGTGCACGCAAATCACCCAATTGACTTCTGGTTTAGTGTAGCACCACAGAAAGCCAATCGCATCTTGAAACCCAGTTATATCATTACCTGTGACACACTAACAAAATGAACTCCCAGAAAAGTTAAGTATAGACAGGAAACAAACAAAAGTTTCCATGAGTCATTTTGCTTACTGCCTAGAGCACTAAGAAAGGGCATGGAAAAGGGGGAATGCTAACCAGTTACTGCCCATACTCTGACCGGATGAGGTTCAGTGGAGGTAGTGACTCAGACTTCTGGCATCAAACTTGACCTGTAAGAAGCCAGAGCTATTCATATGGCTCCTGATCAGATTGGGCACAACGAGGGCACTTGGGAAGAGCTCCCCTCCCTCAGGGCACTTCTTAAAAGCAGGGACAAAACTCAACAGTGACGTATTCAGAAAGCCAACTACTGAAGCTGCAAGCTCCATGAAGACACACATCATGTCTTATCTGAACTTATTATCTTCCGATTGCCTAGCACAGTGCTAGGCACATAGCTTCGTAATTGATTACTGCACTGAGCTGATTATATTGATCTGTGCACTTATCTTCTCTCTCCCCTTCCAAATTAGATATTCAGTGTTTCTGTGATTCTACGGTTTCCACCAACGTAAGAGGATTATAGAAAAATCTAAGCCCTGAAAGAGCTTAGTTGAAAGATTCAAATTTCTGTTGGAAAATTGAATAGACTTGTTCTGCTTGGTCCTAGAGGTCTCATCACCCCTGTGCCACAGTCAAAGGCAGGTCCCCAAATCTGGAATGCATGATCCCATTACCTCCAATTCTTATGACACATTATTTCCTTTAAGGCTCAGCTCACGTGTTATATCCTATGTCTTTCCTGATCTCCCTATTCTGCTCCTCAAATGATCATGTTTATATTTAAATGCTTACATGTAGTATTCCCACCTCACAGTAGAATGTGAGCTCCTTCTGTTTATGTACTGCTTTAAGGTTTGCAAAGGACTTTATGTACATGATTTCAGTGAGTCCTCAGAATAAGGTAGGTAGGTAGGTAGGTAGTTAGGTGCTATTATTATCACCCCCATTTTACATATGAGAAAACTGAGGCTAGGAGAGATTGAATGATGTACCCCAGGTCACATATCTGGTAAGTGTCTGAGGGGGGCCTTCCTGACTCTGGGTCCAGCACTCTAATCTACTGAACTAACTAGCTATCTAGTCTTTGAGCAATTTGTCTACTACACTAGAATCCCTCGCTCTCTTGACTTTCAGGATTTAGTAAACTTCAAAGCACTACATATGCATGGATTATCACTGGGTAATTACAACCATTTTATTCTCACTTATAATGCCCTGAGAACTGCAGGAGAAAATGAGGAAATCAAGCACTTACTCATACACATTTTTACTGTGTAACTTTTACTGGGCCTTTGCTGCTGCATAATCATATCTTCACTCAACCCATTCTGACTCTTTCCCCAACAGACTATTTCAAACCTTTTCCTCTTTCCTCGAGTCCTTAACCATACCTCTGTAACCCATACTCAGAGAAGTTTTAACCTCTTACTTCACTGATAAGACTGAAGCTATTTTATGCTGAGATCTTTCAACTCC